ATGCTAAGGCTCCCATAGATTTTCCTTTTTTTTCTTTTTAGCCTTTCCTTGACAAATGAGTCTCAAATCTAAATGACATCATAAATACCAAACAGCATAAATCTTTTATTTCTCTTTTGAAGAGGAAAACCAATTCTTGCTCAAGGCAGTAAACAATTCCCACACACTCTCATAACAATTCTCGTTTTTAAGTCCAGAGGTTTTAAAATCCAGGTTTTTGGGTGCCTTGACAGTTATATAAAGATGCTCTAAAAGGCAATATACACTTGTTGCATACAACAACACGAATGATCACTTTAGCCCAGTGTTTCCCAACCTTTTTTGGGCAAAGGCACACTTGTTTCATGAAAAAAATCTCGAGGCACACCACCATTACAGCCCCGTGACGTCAGCGCGCAGCGTCACGCCGGGAGGGACATGAATTGCTAGCAAATTACATAATCACCTCCTTGAGGGCTGGCTCATCTTCTCCGAAGGCAGAACCCCATTAATTAACAGCACAGACTCACACCATAGCCAAGACGAGGGGGGAAAACCTCAGTCATGCACAGTCATGCACATGTGGGGGCTAAATGAGGACGAAGACCGGGCAGAGAGCAGGGTTCAAATCACCCCACCTGGCCAGGACAATCCCTGGGTGCTCCCTTGGGCCACTCGCCTGACCCACCTCGCAGGGCTGTTGTTGCGAGGATAACACGGGGAGAACCACGCGCGCCCCCGGGAGCTCCTTGGAGGAGAAAGCGGGCGATGAATGCAATGCACGAAATATATGAGAGGCGACCAGGTTTTGCAGGTGAGGGGCCCCCGCCAGCCTCCGCTTCCAACACCCGGCGCAACGACGCCGAAGTTTTCCCCCGGGCTCGGCTCGGGTAGCAGCGGTGCTCCCCCTGGCTCCCCTTCGCCCTCCCAGCTCTCTCTGCCGCCCACTGGGGACCCCCCTCACCTGCCAAGTCCGGAGCGCCGGTGGAAGTTGCATGCATGCATGCAGGGCGCCGCGTTGCCATTGCATTGCACTGCACTCCATGCAACGCCTGCACGAATGCATTGCCTTGCACGCCCGCCAAGGGGTCTCCCCGCGATCCGATGCGTCCCCTCCGGCGTGGATGCAGCATTGCAAAAATAAAAAACCCCCGACGCAGCCCTACCTGGGGGGCAGCCTCCGCCGCTCCGCCTCCGCGGGGATCCCCGGGCTCCATCCTGCCGCCCGATCTCTGGGGGGCGCAGGCAGGCTGCGCGGGGTCTGCGCGGAAGAGCCCCTGCCCACCCGGCCGCCGCCGCTGCGCTCATTCCATGGCCGGGAGAAGAGTGCTTCAAACAAAACGCCCGGCCCGCCAGGCCACGCTGGGAAACGTAGTTCGCGCACCCCGCGCGGGCGCGGAGCCCAAGGGTGAGGGGAATACGGATCCCGGCAGCCCCCGCGCCGGGGACGGAGGGGGAGAGGCCGGGTGCAGGGATGGAGGGATGGGTGGGCGAGCGAGTGAGTGAGTGGCAGCCGCCAAGCCTTGGCCGAGAGCCAGGAAGGGCCTCCCCGGAGGAGGAGGAGGAGGAGGGAGGCGCAGAGCGGGAGGGAGGGAGGGAACCCCAGGGGTCATCTAGTGACGGCGCCCCAATCGAAAATTTGACTTAAAAAAAAAAATCTTTCAATTTTTTAATTTTTCCCGCGGCACACCAGGCAACATCTCGTGGCACACTAGTGTGCCACGGAACAGTGGTTGGGAAACACTGCTTTAGCCAATCCACTGATACAGCAACACCACTTACACATTCAATGAGCAATGGCTTGGAGTTTGGTGGGTAATTCCCCTCTTATGGATAAACACTGCTTTTGGAAGGATGTCAGATAGCATGTGGCGGGGGGGGGGGGCAGAGCTGGGGAAGCAGTTTCCAATGTAAATGACTGTCATGAAAGGCTAGAATATCAATGGAGCCCTCCGGGTGTTACTTATTCATTTCTTGGCTGCCATTCACCACAAGGTCTTTGTGTGGATTGCAGCAAGTGAAACAATTACATTTTAGAAACAACTCAAACCATTCCATCCAAAACAGAACATTATCACTTCAACAATAGAGATGGGTCCCACAAAACAAAATACCCTAACTGTCAAGGGCCAGGGAAAGAGGTACATCTCGAGGATTATGGCGGAGGTTGTACAGGGCAATGGCTAGCTAGACACACTTCTGTGCGGAGAGAGCTTCACTATTTAGAGCAGGGGTCAGCCAACTTTTTCAGCAGTGGGCCAGTCCACTGTCCCTCAGACCTTGTGGGGGGCCGGACTATATATTTTTTTTGGGGGGGGAATAGTGAACAAATTCCTATGCCTCACAAATAACCCAGAGATGCATTTTAAATAAAAGGACACATTCTAGTCATGTAAAAACACGCTGATTCCTGGACCATCCATGGGCCTGATTTAGAAGGCGATTGGGCCAGATCCGGTCCCTGGGCCTTAGTTTCCCTACCCATGATTTAGAGGCTGCCACAGAGAAATCCCTTTCCTGGACAGCCATATTGAACTCAGTGGAAGATGCTTTTCTACTGCAGGGTTGCTAATCTGTGGCCTTCTGGATTTTGCTGAAATAGAACTCCCATTTGTCCTAACCAGGGTAGTCAGGGAGGACGCAAGTTACGTAGTCCAAAACATAAAGAAGGCTGCAAGTTACCCACCTGTGGTCTAGAACAGCTAGGATGCCACTGAGATACCACTGCAGTATTAGTTTTAGTTCCAGTATTTCCAGTACTATCTAAACTTCATTTCCCATTTGTTTCCACCTCTTCAGAAAGCGAAGAGTTCTTCCACTTTCTTGCAGCAACTTCAACTTGAGCATCAAATCAAACAGCAATTCAGGTTGCAATTCTTTGCACATTTCCTTGGAAGGGGCAAGTCCTGCTGAACTCAGTAACTGCAGTGTTTGTTTAAGTGGGCAGTGGAAAGCCAATAGGTAGAGTCATGAGCAAGAGGCAGCAAGGTGTTAGGAGACAGAGCATAGCATTCCCTAAGCTAGCTCTCAGGTGTGGTGGTGAACATGTTCTTGCCAACAGGGTTGAAGTAAGAATCAATGACCAGTACATTTGGTTTCTGTAGATGGAACAGAGGGGTGGGAGAACCATCTTGTCTTTTGTTTCATACTGTTAAATGACATGTGCCAGCCCTGGATACATTCTCTCCTAGAAACATAACTTGTACTTCATTTTTAGTCCATACTGATTAAAGAACCATCAACAGATAATTGCATAAAACAAACCTTTGGTAAATGTTTAATATATACCTGGTGTATGTGTATATGTTGCTGTTTATACCAATTCTGCAAACATTTCCTCATTCTTCTCTAATTATTTTCCTTGTTATTCAAAACCAAAATACCATATACACATTTAAAAGGCTTTAGACAACACATCCTGATTGCTACTTGGAATGAATTTACTTCCTTTAGAACTGCTGCCAGACATTTGATATATACAAAATGTCAATGCTGAAAAAAATAAAAGGGTCCCCCCTCCATTTCCTCATTCACTACATCATTTGATATCTTCCCTCCAACAATCCAATCTTTAAATCTTGAGATCAGATTACCCAATAGTGTCCTATTGTCTTGTCCCAGCTGAACAATTTATGCCTAATGACCAAGGGCAGTAGGGAAATATCTGGGCTAATCCTACTTTTATCATCCTCTCAGCTTCTAAACAATTTGTTGTGTAATTCAGATCTCAGATGGTGTTTCCTTTCAAGCCATATTATTGCATCTAATGGATCTAGCCGTAATGTCTGTTCCAGCCCAAACTACATCCAAATCACATACTGACAAAAGATAAATAAACTGAACAGGCTGTGAACATTTGATGCAAACTCCATTGATTGACTTTGCAGGCCATTTGTAGCTATTTCTTCTAATTTGCCACCCAAAGGAATGTTTATTATTAGACTCCACCAAATATGAAACAAATTATTGGGGAAATGTAAGAGAAGAAAGTCCTAAAAACAACAACTATTTTTTAAACTTCAGATAGAATATCCATCTTCACAATCAATAACTTTTTCCATGCAAAAACAAAATAAATCTCAGTAAAGTCGTCAAAAGGCAAATCGTTCACTTTCCTTCTTTCCCCCTACTTCCTGTTTCATCCTTCTAGTGAGATGTCTCCTGAAAAGAATCACCATAAATCCTTATACCAAAACCCAGAGCAGCTATTATGCTTTAAGTGTATCTTTTTCCATTTACACAACATATACCAAACAAAGATCAACATTCCAAACATTTCACCTAAGTCCAATTCTTTAACACAGGCATGGTTACAAATGCTCATTTTTACTTTAAGTCTATATTACTCTTTTCTACAACAAATTGGTAGTCCCCCATCCCCGCCCAAGTAAATACATCAGGGTGACCCAGAAACAAACCCCATTTTATACCTGTAGCCATGCTGCACACACTTTGGGGTACTTTTTCCTTTCTTAAAAAACAGACTATTTTGTTTTGCTTCCACCCTAACAGATCAGGAATCTGCTAGAGCAGCCTTTCTCAACCTGTGGGTCCCCAGATGTTGTTGAACTACAACTCCCATCACCCCTAGCTAGCCAGGCCAGAGCTCAGGGATGATGGGAGTAGTAGTCCAACAACATCTGGGGACTCACAGGTTGAGAACCGCTGTGCTAGAGGATGCAAAACATGGAACGGCAGTCAAGGGATGGGGGGGGAGAAGAGAAATGTTCATTGTAAGCCTCACACTGGACATATTACATATGGCAGTCTAAAGCAGTGTTTCCCAACCTTGTGCCTCCAGCTGTTTTTGGCCTACAATTCCCATCATCCCTTGCCACTGGTCTTGCTAGTCAGGGATGATGGGAGTTGTAGGCCAAAAACATCTGGAGGCACAAGGTTGGGAAACACTGGTCTAAAGGACAACCATCCAGGGCCCTAAATGAGCACTCAGATGCACCACTGGGCTTACAGTCAAACCTAGCAAGGGCACACGGGGCACAAGAACTTGCAGCATCTCCTACCTTCCTCAACATCGTTCCTTAGTGAAGCCTCCAGCAGCGCAACGCTGGCCTCAAAAGACACCTTCTTGCGGCTGGCAACGTTCCTCTTCTTCTCATGCTTCCTCCTCTTGTGCTGCATCTCCTTCTCGTATTGCGCCCACTTCTTCAGCTGCTGAGCGCGGCGTTTCTGGGCTGTCCTGAGCCGCTCGAGGGTAGGCACCTTATCCAGTAGCTGCAGCTCTGTCAACAAGTCCATGTGGGTGTCCATGGCCCACCTGCCAATGGGTCAGCCACACTCCTGCTGGACCAGAAGCCCAACCTTGCGACAAGATGCCTGACACTACGGGAACATGCTGTGGCTGGACTGCGAGCGGCACTGCGTAGATACCGGAGAGCACATTGTGGTATCCTGCACAGTGAGAGAGAGAGAGAGGCAGAAAACAAGTAAGCGTGTGTTGCGTCTGGCGAAAACAAAACAGACATAAAAGAACACTTGTGCCGATTGCTACATTCTAAACAGCCATTGAATGTTCTTAATGATGAATGTTGCTCTTTTTCCAAAAACTTCTCCCTGCAAAAATGAGGTGTATATTCAGTTGCAATTAGGTATTTGTTCAGCTGACAGGCCTTCAACTTATCTGAATATTTTAAAAGTAAATGCACACCAGGAAAGGAGGAGGATTACCAACCCAAGGAGGAATGGCTTATAAAACTGATTGGCCTATACAGAAATTGGCTACTAAATTAAGAGGACATAATAAGGAAATGTTTAAGGAGGAATGGAGACCATTCATAGATTACCTATCCAACCATCACCCATACATGAAAGTCGAAGGCAGAATTTGAAGTATAAACAGTGGATTGTTGAAAGAACTAATGATATTGTGGTTTGGACAATAAAAATGTGTGTTATAAAACAATAAAAAGGTTTAAAAGAAACAAAACACACCAGGAAAGGAGGGTGGGAAGTCAAGAAGAAACTATGTATTATTATTTTTTAAAAAAACCTGTATATGATGAAAAATGCTTTGAAATAACTTTGGAGAATTAATGAAAATATTTATGTTTTTAAAAAGCATATGCCCATTAAAGAACACTGAACTCTCAAAGCAGTCTTTTTAAAGCCACGGTTATCCTACAACAATAACCCTTGAACTCGTTTCAGTCTCCCTGTCCAACTAATGCACCCATCCAGATGTTCATTTCTTAAAATTGCAACAATGGATAAGACTAATCATCACTTTTCACGTTTTCCTTGTTTTAAATGTTAAAACCTCAATCAGAGGTCTTAAAAACGATTCCACCTGGCAGTGTCCAGGGCAGCAGAATCACTTTGTTATTACAGTCGTACCTTGGAAGTCGAACGGAAGCCATTCCGGAAATCCGTTTCGACTTCCAAAACATTCGAAAACCAAAGCACGGCTTCTGATTGGCTTCAGGAAGCTCCTGCGGCCAATCTGAAGCCATGGAAGCCCTGTTGGACGTTCAGCTCCCAAAAATAGTTTGCAAACCGGAACAGTCACTCGGTTTGCGACGTTTGGGAGCCAAAATGTTCGGGAACTACGGTAAACTGTTCGACTTCCAAGGCATGAATGTATAGCAAGATTAAAGATGGAGGGGGGGGAATGTTACAGTGGGTGGAGTTCACCAGAACATGAGAAGAGCTTTGCTGGACCAAGTCAAAGGCCCATCTAGTGTAGCATTCTGTTCTCACAGTGGCCAACCACAGGCATTTGGAAAGCCCATAAACAGGACCAGAATGCAACACACTTGTGAGTCCTAGTAATTGGCATTCAGTGTGCCTCTGACACTGGAGGTAAAATATAGTCATCGTGGCTACTAGCCACTGATTTTTAGCTTTAAAATACAATCATTGTCTAACCCCAAAAATACTCAGTAAAAGGTCCTAAGGTACAGAAACACTTTGGGATTCTTTGTTCCTGTGAACAGACGGCACATTCTGCTGCGTCTTTACATAGCGGCAAGATCCACTGGGTGTATCTTAGGTATGTGCAGGGCTTTTTTTTCAGACGGAGCTCAATTGTGGCACCTCTCAGGTGGGTGCCATTGCCATTATAAGAGAACAAGGGAGGCATTCATGGTGAGTTCTGGAACCTCTCTTTCTGGGTACATGCACACAGAACTGGAGTCAGGAGATCTGATCTCATATCTCACTAAACCATCCCCACTGAGTCGATTGTATGGACAAGCACTAACACATGCCCACTTTCCCCCCAAATAAATCAAACGCACACTGCATATATATCTGAAAATCATATTTTTAAATTGGCCTCTGTTCAATGTACTCCCTGCTCTATTGCGAAATGGCTCATAGCACATGCTTTGCACGCAGAAGAACCAGGATCAATTCTCAGCATCCCCAAGGTATGGCTGAGAGAGGCACATGTCTTCTGGAGAGGCCCTGCCAGTCGGTGAGCCAATGGTCTAACTCTGTTTTAGACAATCCCCCGTGGAAAATTTGCTCATTCGTTCACTTATTTTGAATTCTGTGTCTGTGTTTTAAGAAAGTTGACATTTTTTTTCTGTTGGGAGCTGGGAGTGGGCTGCAAGACCTTCATTAAGTCAACTCCTTCTCAGGTTTCGCACCATTCAAGGTGCTTAGCCTGGGGGACCAGTGACAAAAGGAGGTCAGCAAAGGAGGACAGGCCAAGGAATCACGAAATGGGATAGGAAGGCTCCCAAGGCTCCTTCTGCCTTCAGCAATGTTGGTTAGACACCAACACTTATTACCATTATTATTTTTTTCTTCAAAGGTCATATCCATTAGGTTTAATCAGACAGCTGCCTGCCGATAGAAGCACAGAGAGAAGAAATGTCATGGTGTATCTGCAGCAGCACAAGTGGATGCCTTCATCTGCCCCAGCTGCAACAAAACATCTCCCTCCGCATCGGTCTCTACAGCCACAGCAGGCGATGCAACCTTGCAATAGCTAAACTTCATCCCCAAATGCACACTCCTCCATTGTCTGCCGAGCACACACACCAGGTTCTGCCCAACTTGGGGGGGCAGCGGCACGCGTGACATCATGTGGCAGGAGGGTGTCTAATGGGCCCTGCCCTCCATTTTGCAAAAAGAAGGGGGAAAGGGGAAGACGTATTATCGCCTTTCCCTGTGCCCTGAGTACTCCCTGGCTCTTGAAAAAGGCTAGTATCGGGGCTAAGAATACAACACAGCATGGTTTATCTAACCCCTGTCTTTTGGAAGAGCCAGATACAAACTATGCACTAGCTTTAGATTAAACAGCAACAACAAAAAATGGCCCAGCCTCTATCACTCCACCACCCTCCTTAGCAGAAAAGGGAGAAGAGGTAAGTAACCACAAAGCTCTTGAAATACTGTAACTCTTTGCAAAATGCTTCATTCTTTGGAGGGCAAGTTGAGCGGTGTGTGTTTTCCCCCCTTTTAAAAGCAGAGCATTTCTGACTCACCCAGCGCTATACCACACAGAGTGAAACAAACATCCCCGCTAATAGGAGACAGTGAGAAACAGAGACATGGGTGAGAGAGCCTCTGGAGGGATAGATATGTTTGGAAGCAAAAGCAGAGGTGGAAACTTGAAGAGCTCTCAAGGCAACCTAACTCCTACTCGTAGCAACACAGGGGGAGGGGTGGAAAAACTACAAGGAAGGCTGATCAGAACCCCAGGTGCAAGCCATTCCGTATGCCAGAGCACATTTTCTGCTTTCCACAAAAGCACCAGGGTACATTTCTCACATCAGCCTGCCCATGGGTGAAGCCTCCAGAGAGGCACCATTGAGGCTCCTAGACTGTGTGTGTATGAAAATGCACATGGGGTGTGTGTGTGCCAAACTAAGTCTTTGACACGGAAATAAAGCATAGTTTCAACCCAGCTTATGCTCACTTTACTTATGCGATTACAACCTTTCATGGGGTAGGGAAGAATGAATGAAGGAATGAATGATGGAGGGAATTTACTGTTTCACCACCAGCACCTCCATTTTTTCCCTCCTACTCGCACAACCAGAAATACCTTCTTACGTCCTTCCACCTCACTTAGTGGGCTTTGGGAAGGTTGCACAAGGCCCCTGGGATGCTCCTAGAGCCCACCTATGATATTACCAGAGCCTGGTAAAGCAGCTGTCTGCCTTGCAGTTGGGGGGGGGTGTTCCAGGAGTTCCTGACTTTGCACGCTTTTAGCTTTGTGCGCAGACCCGCAGAAGTGGCAGACCTACTGTATTACATTTATACCCTACCTTGCCTCCAAGAACCTAAAGGTTTGGTATCTGCTTCTCCCTCCTCTTCTCCATTCCACACCCCCCCAACAGCAACCCTGTAAGGTGGGTCAGGCTAAGAGAGAGTAACTGGCTCAAGGTCACCCAGTGGACTTCATGATTTGAGTGGGGATTTTAATCCTGGTATCCTAGGTCCTAGACTGATCCTAACCACTATCACACACATACAATTGAAATACTACCAGAGGTGTATCCAGGCTGCTATGTTTTTCAGGTGGGATTTAATCATATACCACCAAATTGAGGTTGTACAACTAAAAGGTGATTTGGAGCTCTTGTGCGAGAAACCCGCTTGCACACAAACACCATGTTTTAAGAAAAACGACAGGAAAATGCACAGGAAAGTATGGGATAACATGTGTTTGGTGCAATATTGTCTAACCTTCCGCAAATAAATCAGAATTAATGCTCAATAAACATTAAAGCTCCCCGCAGACAAATCTGGGTGAATGCTTGGCAAACTGGTCACCTGGAAAATGTGTCTTTTCCTGTTGAAGGCAATATATTCGTAATTATTTTCCCCTCCGCCAACCCCACCTGCCCCCCCTTGCACTAAGGAAAGTGAATACAAATTAATTAACATTGTGCAGTCTTTGGAGGCTTCAATGCTGGATATTACACATAACAACAAGGGAGAGGGAGGGAGACAGAGAGAGAGAGATAAGTTCCTGAAGACCTCAAGCTTGTTCACGACTTGTTACATTTTAGTCAATCCTAATAAAAGGCATTACTGCTATGGTTTGGGAAATGGCTTTTTCGCTCTCCGATAGACCAACATGACTACTTATGGCTTGTGTATATTCCCCGCTTTTCACACTAATTGCATTTCACAGTACATAATTGCACCTGCTAATTTAAATAAGTAGCCTGCAACCATTGCTCCGTATTTCCACTGTGATTTTTTCTTCATCCTCAAAGTTCCGCCTTTTCAGCTCAGTTCTGAAGAACCTCTTGCAAAGGCACCATGGACTCCCCTTTGCACAGAGCTTTCCTCTCCATTACCTGTTCAATGTTAACTGTAGTTTGCTGTCCAAAGTGACAAACTGCGGTTAGCAGTCCACAGGAAACAAAGAGAGGGAAGCTATGCACCAAAGGAGAGGAAGTTTGGAGACCCTGCAGCAGGTTCCCAGGTTG